CATTTTGCTAAAGACATAACGAATGGCCAACAGTTATATGAAAAGTTGCTCAACATCTTTAATCATCAGGGATCTGCAAATCAAAACCACAATGAGGTTTGCCTCACACCTGATGACTATTATAAAAAATTCCAAAGATGACCAGTGCTGACCAGAATGTGGAGACAAGGGAACCCCCTGCACTGCATATGGGAATGTAAACTGGTACAGCCATCATAGAAAACAATATGGGAAGTTCCTCAAAAAATTACAAATAGAACTACCACATGATACAGCAATCCCACTTCGGTGTATATATGTGAAGGAAATGAATCAGTTTCTTAAAAAAAACACACACATTGATATTCCTAGGTTCACTGCATCATTATTCATATTGTAATAACCAAGACATAGAAATAACCTAAGTGTTTGTCGACAGATGACTCTTTCTGAAAATCAATAGAAAATACCTTCAGGTAAGGATTAACAATAACAACAACAACAGAGTATCTTCTAAGAGATGACATACAGGTGAAGGAGTAAGAACAGCTAATGATGAAGAAGGATGTTGAAAACAAGAAGGGTTGTAAGAACTCAAACCTGAGCTTCATAACATGAAGGCAGATATACCGTATTTTTCGGACCATAAGACGCTCCGGACCATAAGACGCACCAGTTTTTAGAGAAGGGAAATGAAGAAAAAAAGATTCTGAAACAAATAGTGTCCTAAAATATTTTATGTGCATTAAAACCCAACATCACAGTTATAAACACATGTAATCAACCCTGTAAAGTAAACAGTAGCATTTAGAACCATTTTAGAGCCGGGCAAGCACACAGAGACCACACAGAGCCGGGCAAGTAAAAAAACTTTTTTTTTTAAGTATATGTGTAGGCTATATTTGGACCATAAGACGCAGGGACTTTTTCCCCCCACTTCTGGGGGGAAAAATGCGTCTTATGGTCCAAAAAATACGGTAATAGTTTGAATGTATCACTAATCTCTGAGGCCATGATGTTACAGCATAATGAAACCAAAAATGTGGTGGTCCAAGTTGGTTGCTGAAAGGGGCAGCAGGAAAGGGGCCTAAAATGGGTTACACTGAAGCTTCTTTGACTAGTGGTAGATATGTGTTCTGTTGGCTTCTGATTGATCCTTTAAAGAATCCCGCACAATATCCAATCATTTTAAAGCTTAAGGACCTGATTGAGGACTGCCACTACAAGATGACATCACTATTCCTACCTACAGCAGGTCTAGTTACCACCCCCATCGCCCCTCCTTAGCAACTCCTGCCAGCTGGGTCTAGTTCTAGGACCTTTTGTTTATCTTGTGATACAGTCAGCAGACTGCATTCTGCCCTTGTCTGCAGCACTCCACTCCGAGCCCGTGCCTTCCCACCCCCCTTTCCTGGTCCTATCCCTGATTACCTAGCCCTCCTATTCTATCTCCTCAATAGTACAATTGATGTTCATAATGAAGATCCCTTCGGGACAGTTGTCAAGCATTCATATATATTTATGTTGCCTTCCGTGCACACCAGGACCAGGGCTGGGGGTGGAGCCTGGACCCCACTCCAGATATATTGAATCAGAATTTGAAGGCAATGCCTAGGAGCCTGTATTTGGCACAAATACAAGCGCAAACGAGTCTTTCAGCATACTTTGTAATTGCTTTAGGAAACGTACGAGAGAGTTATAGACATTTCGGTATGATTTTCACCAAAAACTTAAATCATTACGAAGTTTACGTTTAAAGAGATAATTTAGGTAGCTAAAATCACTTCTATTCCAAACCATTCTGATTTCTGTGATGAGTTGAGATTTGTTGTTGAAGGTGCATACTTTTTAAAAACAAATGCCAGTATAATGTGTGTGTGTGTTTAGTCATTCTACCAGTAGGTTCAGAGTAAACGTTGTAAATCACTTGTTCTTTAGATAAAAAATTTTCCCCTCCCTAAACATTGTGTTGTTAATGTTGTTTGTTGTTCTCCTGGGGATTGTATAGAAATTCTTTTTACAAGGCCTTTTCCTTGACCTTCTTCCCCATTCCTACAGTACCTGAGGATTTGTGGGCTGACTTGGCCTCCTCTGTGGTGAGGAGTAAATGGTGTAGCTTTGGAAAGTGAAGAGCCACATGTTTGTTTTTGTACTGAAACCATTTAAAGAGAGGATTTTTAGGTCCTGAGGAAACATAATTCCTTTTACATTGACAGAAATGAACGGGACACTACGATCTTGATGGTGTTTTATGTAACTATAGTTAGGAGTGACACATGTGTTTTGATCTGTGTGCTTTGAGAAACAGAGGAGGAATCTACAAAATTAAGGTTGGAAAAATAGTTATATGTTTGGTTGATACTCTGAGGACTAAAAAATTATATTGTAAATTCTGAGTTAATACTATCAGCTTGTATTCGGCTGAGTTCAAAAGCCTTTATTTAAATTTTATTTTAAATATGGCAATCTTTTGTTTGTGTTCTGGCATCCAGAGATTTGTATATCCAGCTTTGTATATTTACTTTTGTTTCCAAATAGAGGGTTGAAGATTTGAGCTGGGAGCAGGGTGATAGGAAGTTGTCTTGGTTCAAACACTCTTGCCTTTGTTGCAGAATTTTCTGATTTTTCTTGAATAGATATTTTATTTGTTATTTGTCCTTGGGCTTAGTACCACTTCTATATGTTTTAAATATTTTTTAATGCAATTTTAACCAGTTTCACTTAGGAGCAGGTCCTCTTGTTATTATAACAGAAGTACTCTGTACTATTTAAAAATATATATTTTTATTAATTTCAGAGAGAAAGGCAGAGGAGAGAGAGATAGAAACATCAATGATGAGAGAGAATCATTGATCGGCTGCCTCCTGCATGCCCCCCACTGGGGCTCAATCCTGCAACCTAGGCATGTGCCCTTGCCCAGAATTGAACCTGGGACCTTTCAGTCTGCAGGCCAATTCTCTAACCACTGAGCAAAACTAGCTGGGACCTCTGTACTATTTTTTTTTTTTTTTACAACTGCATGTGTGTGTAAAATTATCCCAAAAGAAAACGAAAACAATGAGAACATACATATATATATAGCATGGCAAAACTACATCTAAGGTAAGTATTATTATATGTTTCCTGGTAAAGTAGACCCATAAGAAAAGCTGTTAGAACCCCTGATATTGTAACCAAACAACCAATGGGTCTGGGCTGTGTTAACGAAAAACACCATTGAAACCTGTAAAGAATTTTAGTGAGTTTATTTGAGCCAAACTGTCGACATATGCTGGGAAGCAGAACCTCAATGGATTGAGATAATGCTCTGAAGAATGGTGGGTTACATTTCTATTTATACATTGCAATCAATGGAAGAACATAGGTGGGTTACATGAAATTCATTGGTGATGGATTAAGGTAAAATGACCAAATTTTAACATTGGTAAAGCAGGACCCCATTGACCGGGGCGGGGCGGGTGTGTGTGTGTGTGTGTGTGTGTGTGTGTGTGTGGTGGTGGTGGTGGTGGTGGTGGTGGGGGTGGTGGGGGTGGTGGTGGGCGGTCCTTGATTAAAAATTTGGTCTATATGGAGCAACAAAAATTTTCATAGAACGCAAAAATAGTATTGTAATATATTTTTTTAAAATTTCAACATAAGTACAATTTACAAATATAATGAATTAAAATTATGTATAGTATTATTTTATTCTTTAGCATATTTCTCATTTAAGTGATTTTTTTTTTAGTAGATTGCTGTCCTTGTTTAAAAGGTCATGAAATTTTTCACAAGAATTTGTTAAATTATATTTCACACATAAAATGGCTTTCAAAGTCTCAACACTTAATTGTGATTTTTTTGATGTCCACACTTTATTTACCGTAGAAAAAACGCGTTCAGTCGCAGCATTAGTTCCTGGTAAGGACAACGTGTATTCCACAATTCTAACAACTGATCAACAATGCGAACTTTGATAAGCAGTTCTCGATAATCAGTTCTCAACAATTATTTGTTATTATTAAAGTTTAACGTTATAAAATTAATAAAAATAATATGAAACTCATATCCTGGCTAAATAGCCACATGGCCGCTGAAAACCGTATATTCCCTTCTCGTTCTCCCGCCATTCCCTAGCTTGTCATGCATTCTTTCCAAAAATCGGGACTTTTTTAAAACACCGCGCAACGCGGGACAAATTGTTAAAAATTGGGACTGCCCCGCCAAAAGCGGGACGTCTGGTCACCTTACTATATATATGTGCGTGTGTGTGTGTGTAGCTTAATCCTCACCTAAGGATATTTTTCCATTGCTTTTAGAGTGGAAGGGAGGAGGGGAGAGAGAGAAAAACATTTATGTGAGAGAGACACATGGATTGGTTGCTTCCCACAGGCGCCTGCAACCAACGTACATGACTTTCTCCAGGAATCCAACTGGGCGACCCTCACTTAGGTTCTTGGGCCGAAGCTCTAACCACACCGGCCAGGGCACGAACACCTTTTAAAAGTACATTTTAAAAGCGTGGTCTGGGGCTTAGTGATCAGGTTAGCTAGGCCTCAGCTTCCTGTCCTATTGGGCTCTGGGCTCTCTAGCTTTGCCCGTTTCCTTCAAGCTAACCTGGAGACTGGAGCACTAGTCCTCAATTTTCTTCCCAGGTTGTATTACATGCTGGGGAGCCAGCCCTTGAATGACGAACAAATACATCAGATTCCTTTCCTGATCTCAGGCTTCTGCTAAAGCTCCACGTGCCTTTTGCAAAAAAAGAGAAACACTCAGAAATTAGTCCCCGTCCCCACCTTTCAGCGGCCTTCCCTTCCACAACCATGCAAACAAAACCCAACTCGAAGCCTCCTTTCACATCTGAACCCACTAGGAACCGAGCCCACCCACCGCTCGGTGGAACTGCTGTGACGTCACCGCGGGGAGGCGCATGCGCCGTGCCGCCTTGAGGCCCCTTTTCCGCTCTTTTCCAACGAAGCTCCTTGTCCTCGGGTGCGACGAGAGAACTACAACTCCCAGCGTCCCGTGCGGTGCGGCGGACGGAAGGTCGGGATTGTGGTAAAGAGGCTCGTCGGGAGGATAGCGGGCCCGAGGGCTGGCCGCTCCTCCTTCGGAAGCGGTTTTGCATCTCTTTCTGCCCCGCGGCGTCGGCGGCGTCGGCGCTCACGCAGGGGCGGGTCACGGCGGCGCCGAGCGGGGTTGGGCGGGAAGGGAGGTCGCGGTGGCGGTGGCGGTGTCGGCGGCAGGGACAACAGCCACAGCGGCGGCCACGGGGGCAGCAGCAGCGGTGGTGCTGTCAGTGAGGCCGTCGGAGAAATGGGAGACCCCGGGCCGGAGGTGAGTGGGTGGCGGGGAGGGGAAAGAGGGGGGGGACCGCGAAGGGTTTTGTGTTTTGTTGGCCGAGGCCTGGTGCGGGGCGATGCCCTCGGCGGCTCGGCCGAGCAGGCGTTCGGGGTTGTTGCAGGTCTGAGCCAGGAACCAGCGGCAACAATGGCCGCCCCGGCCCCCGGCCGGGCCCCGAGCTCCTTGTTGTGGCTGCTGCTCCGCCGACGGGCCTGCTCCTCAGCGGGGAGCCTGCAGCCCTCGCTCCGGAGCCGAAGGGGCCTCCGAAGGGGCCCGCGGTTGGCTTTTCCGCCCTCGGGTCCCTGCCACTCCACGTATGCAGGATGCATGATCCGACTCCATGGAGTTCTGTGCTTAGTCGGGGTTTTGCGTGGAATTGTGCCCTTTAAGTTTCTTTGGAAGCTCTTCCTTTTTCGTTCCTTTTTGGGGAAATCTCTTCCCGCTCGTCCACGGCTGTATAGATAAGCGTGTTTTGGCTTATTTTTGTAGATAATAGGATCTGTCCCTCCAGCTGGGCCTGGGGCATCTGAGTCCACAACGGATGAAAACGAAGATGACATTCAGTTTGTGAGTGTAAGTAGCAACATTTCTGGGTTTTTCAGAGTCAAAGACTGCGTGGTAAGCGGTTATGGGACTACACCTCACCTGCTCATGCATCAAACAACAAATGTGTGTGCATGTCTGATGGGTACTAGACAGTGTGGAGCAGGGCGTTAGGAAACGGACCAAAGAGTTCTCTGAGCAGCCACGGTGGTCATCACAAAGACTGTGGGCCAGAGGACGTGTTGTGCCCTTAATCACTCTTCTCCGGCCTTCCAGAGGAGGGCCATTTTATACTGTGGCGAGGCAAAGCTCTGGTCTCTTAAGACTGTATTGAAATGGGTCAGGAGGATCTCCCAAGAGGAGACACACCGGTGAGGGAGAAGGGGCAGGATGTAGAAAACAAGGAGGGTTATAAGAACTCAATACTTGAGCTCGTAACATGGAGGCAGCTAGCTTGTAGGTGTCACAAATCTCTGAGGTCACGATATTACAGCACAGTACGGTTGATCATAATGCAGGTACCTGCATCACCAGGAACTTACTGTATTTTCTGAGTTTATTCCCTTTGAGACAGTTATGTGTGTACATTCTGGGCCTCCCTCTGGACCTATTGAGTCAGAATTTGAAGGTGGGGTCTAGGAATCTTCATTTTGGAGAAATGCAAGGATAGACAAATCTCTGAACCACACTTAAAGCATTGGTTTAGGGCAGTGGTCGGCAAACTCATTAGTCAGCAGTCAGATATCAACAGTACAACGATTTAAATTTCTTTTGAGAGTCAAATTTTTTAAACTTCTTCTAATGCCACTTCTTCAAAATAGACTCTCCCAGACTGTGGTGTTTTTGTGGAAGAGCCACACTCAAGGGGCCAAAGAGCTGCAGGTGGAGCCGCAGTTTGCCGACCACGGGTTTAGGGAAAAAGTGGGTCTGATGTATTTTGGGATGATTTTCACCCAAAACTGTTAACATATGACAAGGGCTCTGCTTAGAGAATACCTCTACTCTAAAGGACCCTTTGAATATGGTAGTTGAGGTTTGTTATTAAAGGTGTATAATTTTTCTTTAACAGAGTATATGACATGTATTTGTGTTTGGGACAACTTTGTAAAACTGGTTATTAAATAATATTCTATAGTATCACAATATTAGGGCCATTGTGAGGGTCAATTGTTGTGTTTTAATGGGTTTGTGTAGGAGTCTTTCACAAGAGCATGTGTGACTTTTTCTCCCGTGCTAGCATATATGGTGCTCTTTCATTTTACACTTTTAGTTTCTTTTTAAACTAAACTCATGGGAGGTCAGAAGAATTTTATCCTGCCCGCAGTCACTGTGACTGAAGTATATGCTTGGAAACAATTCCCTGGCTCTTTAGGACAGATATTTCAGGCTCTTCCCGAGTATTGATATATTTGTGAATGGAGAGTACTTATCTCGATATTTTGTGCAAATATAAGAATGACACAATTCTTTATGAACTACAGCTTACTTTGAAAGTCACAGATGGAATCTATTAAAATAAAATTTTAAAAATGTTTTTTGTGGTACTCTGGGATGAAGAATTGTATTGTAGCCTGTGACTAATATAAGCTTGTATTCAGCTGAATTTAACTCGTTTTATTTTAAATGTAGAGAATGTGTCATATCTTTCATCAGAATAAAAAAAATACACAATCAGTTTTGTGTATCCAGCTTGACACAACTTGTATTTATACCTTTTTTCAACTATAGATTCAAAGGTTTGAAAGTTCTAAATGGGCCAAAACCGGTTTGGCTCAGTGGTAGAGCGTCGGTCTGCGGACTGAAAGGTCCCGGGTTCGATTCCGGTAGAGGGCATGTACCTTAGTTGCGGGCACATCCCCAGTAGGGGGTGTGCAAGAGGCAGCTGATTGATGATTCTCTCATCGATGTTTCTAACTCTCTTTTCCTCTCTCTTCCTCTCTGTAAAAAATCAATAAAAAAAATATATTTAAAAAAAAAAAGTTCTAAATGGACAGATGAATTATATGTATCAAGTACAATTATAATAAGTAGTAGAAACTTATTCAACATTTCCTCTGCCTTTGTAGTGATAACACTAAATGACAATGATACCTGAATTCTATTTTAAAATTCATTTAGAAACAGACTTTTCTACTTCTTTCTGTGACCCAATCTTATCCTCTAGGTCAGTGTTTCCCAAAGTGTGGAACGTGTTCCCCCAGGGGTACGGGAAGAGTTGGGTGGAGGTACGCGTAGCACGGGAGTTGGGTGGGGATATGCACTGCACTGTGGTTAGCTGCGCCTAATTCTTCCTTCTCATGAGGACGAGGGGTACTCAGCGTTAGGAAAATTATGGTAGGGGTACACATATGTCAAAAGTTTGGGAAACACTGCTAATGCTTATCCAATTAAAGAATAAACAGTTCCCTGGTTAACTTAAGATTAATTCAGATACAGAAAAGAGCATTATGATGTCATTTCTTGATTTATTCTGGTTTGGATTTCTTAGTTTGCTGTTAACTAATTTAATTTTATAATCTTTGATCCACCTGATGGCACATCATTCTTTCTGTGGTTTGCAAAAATAGAATCTGAAACTAAACAGTATGCAGAAGGAAAGGAAAAATATAGATGTAGAGGCCCAAAATGACTCCTTTCATTTATATTTTATTGAAATTAACATTAAATTCAATTCATAAGTGTACTGTTTGACTTCTGCAAAGCCAGGACACCTGTGTAAACAGTGCTCAAATCAAGAAACAGAATGTTACCCTAACAAAAACTTTTCATTTAGGTCTTTTTTCTCTCATTTTCTGTTTAGTTTAGTGGCATGACTCTTTTTTCAGCCATCTTTATGTCTTTCTTTGAAACTAAGTATTTTAATTTACTCACAGAAAACTATTTAGCCTAGGAACCCATGACATGCTTTTTCACAGTGCTACTCTAGATACAAAGGTATAAAAACTGCTGAGGCAACCTATCATAAACTTGAAAGCAGCACATCAGCCTTGGCTGGTTTTGCTCCATGGTTAGAGCATCAGCCCTGGCTCTCAATGGTCATGGGTTTGATTTTTGGTCAAAGACTTGTACCTCCATTGCCAGTTTGATCTCCAGCCCCAGTTGAGGTATGGTGTGCGGGAGGCAACCAATCAACTTCGGTGTGTCTGTCTCTCTCTCTCTCCCCCCCCCCTCCCTCCTCTGTTTCCCTCACTTCCCCCTCCATCCCTTCTACTCTAAAAATCGGTGGTAGGATTTTTAAAATATCCTCAGGTAAGGATTTAAAAAAAAAAAAGAATAGCACATGAGATTTATGTTTCAGCCAAGATTGTTGGCTTAATGTGGAATTGTTGAACCTGTGGAAATAGTGGAAGATACTGAGGTACCCTATCTAATAAAAGAATATGCAAATTAACCATCACCCCCTATGCCCACAAGCCACGCCCACCAGCCAATCAGGAGCGAGTTTGCAAATTAACCCAACCAAGATGGCTACAGCCATGGAGAGAGCAGAAGGGAGGCTTGGGTTTCTCTGGTGATGGAGGAAGCCAAGCTTTCTGCATATCCTGACTGGACCAGGCCTCAGCTTAAGGCTACAAAGTTTGAATGATAGAAGATAAATAAATCCCAACAAAAATGGCAGCAGCCATGGACCTGGAGAGAGCAGGAGGTTAGGGTTTCCCCTGGCAATGGAGGAAGCCAGGCTTACTGTAAGTAGAAGTAAGCCAAAGCCCTGGCCTACTTTGGCCTCTGCTTAAGTCTACAAAGTTTTAATTATAGAAGATAAATAAATCCCAGGTACCAGGACCTCTACTTGGATTGCCGGTAGTTGCAAACTACCACAGGCCCCTTGCCCAGGCTGCCTCACACCCCAAGGGAACCCCTACCCTGATCCAGGACACCCTTCATGGCAAACCAGCTGGCCCCCACCCATGCACCAGGCCTCTATCCCATCTAATAAAAGTAATTTGCAGATTGACCACTCCAACACACAAGATGGCTGCCCCCATGAGGTCAAAGATCCTGCCCCCATGTGGACACAAGATGGCCAGCAGAGGAAGGCAGTTGGGAGGGACCAGGCGTGCAAGGGAGGGCACTTGTGGGCAATCAGGCCAGCAGGGGAGGGTGGTTGGGAGGGACCAGGCCTCAAGGAAGGGTGGTTGGGGGTGATCAAGCCTGTAGGAGAGGGGAGAACAAGGGTGACCAGGCCAACAGAGGAGGGAAGTTGGGAGCAAACAGGCTGACAAAGGAGCAGTTAGGCATCAATCAGGCTGACGGGAGTGGTTAGGGGGTGATTAGTCTGGCAGGCAGAAGTGGTTAGGGGCAATCAGGAAAACGGAGTCAGACATCCTTCGAGGGGTCCCACATTAGAGGGTGCAGGCTAGGCTGAGGGTCACCTCCCGCTCCATGCACAAATTTTGTGCACCAAGCCTCTAGTAATTTCATAAATAACTTGAGCACATAGTTCAAATGGTATTTCACCAGCAGTAGAATGGGTCATAGGCAAAAAAAAAAATAAGATATTTTTTGTCTGGGTGTTTTTAAGGGTTATAATTAGCTTAATAAATAATGTTGGAGCTCATAATATGCAAAGCCATGAATTAAGTACCTTGGAGCTACACATATTAATTGGAAATACATTTTACCCAAAATATCAGTATTTTAGTGTGGGACATGAAGTAGGAGATGAGAACTATGTAAATAATTATAGTAAAAAGTTCTTTTATAAAAAAAAATACATGGTGCTATCACCAGAAAAAAGTCCATCAGTTTATTACTTTGCTATAAGTAGTATTTGTATGTGTTTAAAAGGTTCTTTTGAGAAGAAATAAGGGAAAGCATCAAAATTAGAAAAGCAGTATTTTGTGTAGTTGTGGAAGATAAGAATTTTTTCCCTCCAAGTGTTAGAGGAAAGGATGGGCTAGATAGTATAGATCGCGAATTGTGGACTACATTTGAACTTAAAATAGGCATTTAGGAACCATTTGAAATTTTTGAAATTGGCAGGACTGAAGAAGTAAATTATGCTCCTAACTTACCTATATGGAAAAAAAAAATCAAATGAATTATTTAGAGTTTTAGATAAGATTTTTGCACGTGTGGTTAAATCCATATTTGTTTTAGAGTGAGGTAAGGTTTTTTTGTGTGTGTATATATCTTAGTGTATTGACAACACTTTCCAGTTAGTCGGCAATTGGTGTTTTGGATTTGTATGAGAATCAATTTTCTAATAACAGAACTTAAACTTTTCTTTATTAAAAAATTTTGTTTTTAAACTTAGATTATTAAGTCAATTGTGTTCATAATCTGTTTTGCTTGTACCTGTGCTTCTGCTCCTGAATTGTGTGGCCTTGGAAGTAGAATCCTTTGATTTGGTTTTGGTACAGAGAAGATGAGAATGACAGTTTACTAATTGATATATGGAGCATCCTATCTAATAAAAGTAATATATAAATTAACATCACTCTGCTAAACCCACAAGTCACGCCCACAAGCCAATCAGGATCACATATGCAAATAAACCTAACCAAGATGGCTACTGCCACAGAGAGTAGGAGGAGGCTTGGGTTTCCCTGGCAATGGAGGAAGCCTGCCGTTGCCAGCCTAGACCTCCACTCAAGGCTACAAAGTTTCAATGATAGAAAATACATAAATCCAAACAGAAGTGGCAGCAGCTGGAAAGACCGGGAGGCTAGAGTTGGCCCTGTTGATGGAGGAAGCCAAGCTTTCCACACACCCTGGCCAATCCAGGCTTCTGCTTAAGGCTACAAAGTTTCAATTATAGAAAAGACATAAACCCCAACAGAAATGGCTGCTGCCACTGAGCGAGCAAGAGGCTTGGCTCTGCTCCAGGCTACAAAGTTTCAATTGTAGAAGATAAATAAATCCCAGATACCAGGACCTCCACTTGGGTCACCAAGGGGCGTGGCTGGCCTGCAAACCACAGGACACTTACCCAGGCTGCCCCACGCCCCAAGGGAACCCCCCACCCTGATCCAGGACACCCTCAGGCAAATCAGCTTGCCCCCACCCATGCATCAGGCCTCTATCCTATCTAGTAAAGGAATAATATGCAGATTGACCATCACTCCAACACATAAGATGGCTGTTCCCATGTGATCAAAGATTCTGCCCCCATGTGGACATAAGATGGCTAGCAGGGGAGGGCAGTTGGGGGTGATCAAGCCTGCAGAGAAGGGAAGTTGGGGGCAACCAGGCCTGCAGGGGAGGGCAGTTAGGGGTGACCAGGCCTGCATAGGAGGGTAGTTAGGGGCAAACAGGCTGGCAGGGAGCAGTTAGATATCAATCAGGCTGGCAGGGGAGTGGTTAGGGGGTGATCAGACTGGCAGACAGAAGTGGTAGGGGCAGTCAGGAAGGCAGGCGAGCATTTGGGAGCCAGCAGTTCTGGATTGTGAGAGGGATGTCCCAGATTGGAGAGGGTGCAGGCTGGGCTGAGGGACACCCCCCCCCCCCCCCGCACGAATTTCATGCACCAGGCCTCTAGTATTCAAATAAAATACCTTGTAAATGGAGGACCGCATGCATGTATACTTGTTAAGGATATAAGCAGTCATAAATATTAGAAAGTATTGTATTTTCTCTTGGTCTTTGTGCTTTAAACATTACTTCTTTGGAGGAGTTTATTTTTTGGTTAGTGTTATAAGTTATTCAGAGTTGGGGATAATAGCAGGTAGTCCTTTTTCTCTTATTGAAAAGTATCTTATCTCAGAAACTTAAGTACCGTATTTTTCGGACGATAAGACGCACTCCCCCCCCCCCCCCCCCCCCGCCCCCAGAGGTGGGGGGAAAAAGTCCCTGCATCTTATGGTCCAAATATAGCCTACACATATACTTTAAAAAAAAAGTTTTTTTACTTGCCCGGCTCTGTGTGGTCTCTGTGTGCTTGCCCGGCTCTAAAATGGTTCTAAATGCTGCTGTTTACTTTACAGGGTTGATTACATGTGTTTATGACTGTGATGTTGGGTTTTAATGCACATAAAATATTTTAGGACACTATTTGCTTCAGAATCTTTTTTTCTTCATTTCCCTTCTCTAAAAACTGGTGCGTCTTATGGTCCGGAGCGTCTTATGGTCCGAAAAATACGGTAATAAGCATGGATTTAAAAATATTATGTATCAACCTAGCCAGTTTGGCTCAGTGGATAGAGGGTCAACCTTCGGACTGAAGGGTTCCAGGTTCGATTCTGGTCAAGGGCACATGGCCCGGGTTGAGGGGGTGGTGGGGAGGGCAGGGGACAGCCAATCAGTGATTCTCATCATTGATATTTCTATCTCTCCATCTCTTTCCTCTCTGAAATCAATAAAAATATATATTAAAAAGTAAAATAAAACACACTCCTATCAATATTTAAAAAAATTATGTATATTTTGAATTACTTCAGAGTTGCATTGGGCACACAGCCAGTTACGTGTTTAGAGAACCAGGTATATACCTCACTTAGTTTTCTCTTTTGTTAAATTGGATAATAGTAATTTAGTATTTCACCTTGTCTAGTAATTATGAGGACTCGATAAAATCATATGCATGAAAAATTTAGCACAATCCCTATACAGGGCAGGATGACAAATGCTACTGATTAGTAGAAAAATAAATGGGGTACTAAAATATTTTGATTCCCTTATTATGGTGGAAGTTTTTCTATATCCACTGTGGAAATTAGAGTATTTGTTTATAAAATAATCTTTTCCTTTGGGGTACTTCTCTTATTTTTCTGTTCAGCCTCTTTGTCTTTTTGGAGGTCTCGGACACTTGTTGTCTTTCTACCATTCTATCACGTACAACTCCATAGTTATTTGTTAGTAATAAATAGGTGTCCTAACTGACTCCTTCTTTTTCTTACTTCTGGATTACCTGTTCTGATTTCTTTTTATTCTTCTTAATTAGTGTGAATTATATGAAGTTGCCATTGCTTAGTTGTGCATAACAGTCCAATGATTCACTCCAGTAGTAAATTTCTGGTAGTTTTCTCTTGTCTGTTTTCATTTCTGCCTCTTCTAGAATTTTTTGACTTATATTTTAATCCTGTTTGTTATCGTTTTTCGTTACTCTGTTTTTTCTGCCCATTCTTCTTTTTGCTTTGTGCCTGTTACTTTCTTTCAACTCCCTTATTTCTTTACCTACTATCTGTGGAAATTCTGTCTTTACCTCTGTTTTTCTGGTAACCTGGGGACTTTCTTGGTGTTTCTTTCTTTCTTGTTATTTCTGTGGGCATGTAATAAAAAATTTTAATGCAAATTTCTTGAATAGTGCAAACTCAGATAATTATATGAACAGTAGAAGCTATTTTTATCTCATCTACTTCCTTTTTAGATTGTTTGATTTTGGGTAATATAGCTCTTCTTCCTGAATCCTAAAATTCTAGCATTTCCTCAAGCATCTCCTTGAATTCTTCTTTGTCCTCTTTGCTTTTTTTCTTTGGCTACAAATAGTTTCAATTTAAAGCTACAGTTAATAGACTTTTAGGGGAGCCATTCCCCAATCTCTATTCTCAGTTATTTCATACATCCAGATTACAGGCCTGCATTTCCACCTCTCTGCCAAATACCTCTGTGTACCATTGGCATATCACATCATTACGTGCAAAAGAATATCAGCATTGTGTTTCTGTATTCCAAATCTATATTAATGGCATTAGTATCCTTCTAGTTACCCAAGCTTGAAACCTTAGAAGATCACTTTTTTATTTCTCGTTGTTGTTGGGATTTTGTTTGCCAATCTTTGTGCTCCCCACCCTTCCCTCTCCATTATACCCATATACAGTATTTTCTTCTATATGGACCACCACACTATTCTTGCTGTCACCATTACTTTAGTTCTGCATTTTTATGTATCTGAACTGGTTAATCTGCCTTTCCCACTCTTTATACTTCTTTATGTGATTTACCTTGATGCACAAGTCTCATATGTTACTCCCATGTTAGTTTTTATTCTCTTTTGCCTATAGGATAAAATCAAGGCTTTTAAGTCTAGCATTCAAGGCTTGATTCTTAGAGTCAGTATGGATGAAAAGAAAAGATGGAGAAGAATTAGGTTTAATGTTTGACTTTATAGAAGTGGGAGATAAAGCTGAGCTCTTGGTCAAGGAACTCTGTGATTTTGAGTGTGGATATCTAACAAACCATTGATACCCATTACATTTGAAAAGTACTGGCTCATAATATCTGTGTTCTTATAGCCTGCTTCTGTATTGATTGACCTAGTCCCAATACTCTTACTGTGGTTTAGGCTCCTCCTCCTAGGCTTCATCATCATTTCTATTTCTTGTCGTCATTTTTATTTTATTTTATATGTCTTATTGATTTTTCACAGAGAGGAAGGGAAAGGGATAGAGAGTTGAAACATCAATGAGAGAGATACATTAGTCAGCTGCCTCCTGCATACCCCCTACTGGGGATGTGCCCGCAACCAAGGTACATGCCCATGGAAGGCCGATGCTCTATCCACTGAACCAAACCAGTTAGGGTTCGTCCTCATTTCTTATTCATGTACACACTTTGAATATTTTTCTCTGCATTCTGATTATTTTCTGCCAGCCATAAGGAATTCAGAGAAATTCTTGCCAATCCCAACAAACGTTGTTTAAAATGCTAGTTTAGTTTGAATAACTCTTTATGACTTGTTAATTTGCTCAATTCTTTCCTAGGAAGGACCATTAAGACCTGTTCTTGAATATATTGATTTGGTCAGCAGTGATGATGATGAGCCTAGCACCTCTCATAGTGATGTAAGTACATTATATTTGATTTGTATTTCTTTACTCCTGTCATTTACTAAGCATTCTCTGAAGAGAGTTATCAGATCAATGATGGTTGTGTTTATTACTTTAGAGGATGGCCTATTTCTGTTAGAGTGGGCCATATAGGTAGTCCAAGGAGTCCTTTGCCCAGAATATCTCCTACTTTTAGTTTTGTTTCTTCACTTTCACTGAGGGTGTGAAAGGATGACATGAAACAGGCAAGTTCTAAGCCTTGATGATAATATCTGATAAAAGGGAAATGGAATAAAAACTGTAAGCTTTTTGGCTCCTTGTGTCCTTCTCCTTTCCTATTTCTCTTCAGGTGCCCTATAGAACTGGATCCTTTTCATCCAGAACCATGTAGACATAGAAAATTTGTTTTATCTTGGAAGAAAGGATATGTGAAGATCCTTTAGGAAATGGCATGTAGGAAGGGTTATAGGTGATATATTACTTTAGACATCATATCTTTTAACCTCTTCTAATGCCCCATATTTGGAGTTTTCTCTTTTACTTGTGATTTTTTGTTTGTTTGTTTGTTTGGGTTTAACCCTTTAATACTTTCCTTTGAGAGCCAAAGTAGCTGAGCCCTTTGTAGCACTCTTGTTCTACATTTGTTGTAGCCCAAATTGCTATTAATGGGCTATTTTCTTGATGGATTACAGAACTTTTTGGTCTTGTTCAAGGTGGCCAGAAGCTTCTGCTCTGTAATAAAAGAGATTGAGACTTGAACTTGGAATAAAAATATCTAGGTTTTAGTCTCAAATTTACTCCCTATTAAGTCTATGATTTTGGATAAATTAAATAGCTTTTTAACTTAGTTTCTTTATCAAATAAAAATAATACCTACCTCACAGGGTTGTTGTGAGGATGAAATGAGGTAACAAAAATAAATTTGAGCTCTTTGAAAACTACAAATCATAAAGTAGGACTATGCAATTGGAAAGTTTTGTTATTTGTGCAGAGTGAATGGGAGAATTTTTAAAGGGGCTTAAAAGTGGTTCTACAATGGAGGACTTTTGTAAAAAAAAAAAAAAAAAAAAAGAAAAAGAAAAAACTTTTTTTTCCTCAGTGGGATTTACCCCAAGTGTTCTCGGCAGTTATTAGCTCCTTCTTATTGTCTTAAATATATCATATGTGATTTTTTTTTTAAATTGTTATCACCAATGGTCTTACCACCTCTTATCCTATCATGGGACCAAGCAGTTGGCAAGGATGGCACCACTTGAATTGGGCTTGTTTATATTCTCCTTTTTTTCAGGGACAGAGTGCCAGATTAATGCCAATAGTTGGTATTGGGTCTTTGGGAACGTGAAGCTTGTGGAATTGATTCTTGTCATCCCTTGCTGACCAATAGTGGATTGCATCATTCATTATTTTAATTATAGTAATTTTTAAAAATTGAATTCTACTTACTGGACATGCATCTCTGCACTTGAAAGTTAACATATTAAAAGCATTTTTTTTTCTTCCTTGGTTTTCTTGTTCATGTGGATAACCCAGAGAATGCCTGAGTCTAAGGTGCCATCCTCTGAGAATCATCGCCCAGAAATGTGCTCTAGCTGCAATGTTCCTCTTCCCATTGGAGACAACAGCTCCTCTGGGAGTTGTACCAGCAGTCCACAGAGGATAGTTTCTCAACCTTCTTCTGTTGAGAACCCATTGGAGAACCAAAAAAATGATCAAAATAATTCAGATTTTAAGATCTCTGAGACAGATACACTTAAACCATCACAAAATTATCAGAATCTGCCTTCATCTCCTCTTCTGGTCCCCCAAGAATCTTTGGCCTCTTCACAGGTCAAGGAGGATTTACCACCAGAGTCTTCAGTTTCACAGCATGGACAGGATGCAATCCTCTATCTCCAGACACAAGTGGCTGAGATGTCCCGAGTGATACGTGATCTGCAGTCCAGAAGTTGTTTCAGATTTCATCATTCTAGGCCAAGTGAGAACTCCTCAGTTCCTTGGGACATCACCTCCAAGGAAGAGAACTTATCCACAGTTGAAGAAGAAGTAGATTGCAAATCCCCCTCAGCTGATGACAAAGGACAGCCCACGGATCCCAGTCAGACCAGTTTCACAGGTCTTTTGAAGAGAATGGAACAGAGAGGTGTTATAAAGAGAGTAACTTTACAATCTGAAGCAGAGTCATGTGATGGGAAACCTGATTGTGTGACTTCTAAAAAACGTCTGGTTCCTCCGCTGCATCCTCTTCTGAGAATTGCCACCACCGAGGTTTTTAAAGACCCTGCTGATTGCCATCCTTCTTCTTTCATGGGACACAGGGTATATCCTGTGGCCAAGGATACCTCTCCTTTTCAACCAAATCCTCCAGCTGAGGGTCCCATTGTAGAAGCATTAGAGCATAACAAAAGAGGAAGCACAACATCTCTTCTAGATTCTACCTCAAAGGAAATGGAGGTCATGGGTTGTAGATTTTACCATGCTGCTTCCATTGCAGCCCGAGCTGCTAGCTACATGGCCTATATGACTCAATATCAACGTAAACTCTGGGAAGACATGGAGGATCTGGTCCATGACCCAGAGTTTGATCGCGGAAAAGCAAGATGTATAATATCTGATGGTATGGATGCAGGCCTTTGGCAGCTTTGTACTACTAGGGACATAATGGACTCTGTAGTCAGAGTTATGGCAATGGCAGTAGACTACAGAAGGCAAGCCTGGCTCCGACTTACATCTCTCACTAAGAAAACCCAGGAGAAAATCTCACACTTGCCCTTTGATGGCACTTCCCTCTTTGGACAAGATGTGAATGCTGTTGTTGCAGAAGAAAACAGTATAAAAGAAAATGACTATAAAGACCACCACAAATATTATAACCAACATCGATACTTTTATAGTCATGATCAGAAAGCACATTATCACAGTAGAGGGTACTCCAAAGGGGATTGGTACAAGTCCCGAAACCACCCCTATAGATACAGAAAAAAGGGAGAATCTCCAGAACGCCACGGGTACAAGAATTGATAGCCTGTCTGTTTAGCAGTATAGCCATCCAACATCCTAAGTATTTCACTTGCTCTTCCTGACTTAAACAGATCTACATGTAGGAGGTCACCTCAAAACGGAATGCATGTATGGAATTGCTTTAGCTTACATTTAAATTCTAGACTGTTGGAATGAATTATATAATAAATTATGCTTATTGACCAAGTAAGCAGTGGAGATTTTTCATCTAAGTAGGGTTGGACAAAGATTTACCCATTATTTCTGATTCAAAGTAAGTACAGAGGAAGGTGCTCAGGAATCGGAATCCTCTTGTGATCAAAGCAAACTATAAAGATTTATTCCTCAGGAAAATCTTGCTGGTAAATTGAGGACCAGCAGATTTATGGCCTGGAAATAACCCACTACTTACACAGATCTCTGTTTAACACAGAGGCAAGTCCTTCATTTTTAGTTTAACAGTGCTTCCTTGTTCAGGCTTTGCTTGTCAGATCTTTACAAAATGACAAATCTTTTTATATCAGGATGAACTCACTGAGTGCATACAACTCAAGCTCTGTGAGACTTCAAAATCAACCATGAAGCTGTATATCAAGAACTGGAATTCAAGTCCAATTTTGCCAAATCTAGTTTGCTTCCAGTGGGATGACTAAATGTTACAGGCCTACAGTGGGCACCAGCTGGAAAAAGACTTTTTCTACCTATACTTTCTAGAATAATTTCACAGTTAACTATCTTCATCAAGACTGGTTGCTATCATACCATTATCACTCCAAGTTACATATGAGAGCATTCTTAGTTGTTGCCACTTATAAGCATCTGACCTATTAAACTCGTATCAATCACCAAGTTGTGAGACCCAGTAATGGTGTTCTCTCAGGATAATCTGGACCTTTCACCAAGATGACCTTCTTAAACCCATCTTCTAAACAGTTAAATTTTTTGAACTTGATAATTCATCACACTTTAAATACAAAACAAGATATGTGTATTAGTGACTGGAAATAAAAGATGTTACACCATCCAGGCATGCAAATCTGAACTCTAAAAAGAGCAAGAATTCCAAACATGCCTGACAATCCAGTTCTCTTACTGTAATAAAGAGGAATGCCATCAATTGATGCTATTGAGAAATCCATAAGTTTTAGTCTAAATGTTGATATAGTAAAGAGAACATCTCACATAGTTCTGTTTCTGGATATCTATCTAAATGATATATCCTTTAATGATAACTTAAAAATCTGAAATCAAGACTTCAGTGACATGTTCTTTGTTTATTGTTTCCTTAACCTAGTCAGACTTTTACCATGAGAGACGACCGTGGTTTAATTAATAGTTCACTCTCCTGGAACTAGCAGCAGATACCTCAAATACATGTCTCACAGTATCTTTTCAATCTCAAGGGAGTGGCTGTACTGTATACCAACCCTTAGATCCTTGTCTTCGCAGCATGACTTCAGAAATGGAGAAAATTGTCAAGTTTGAAGGGTCTGAATACATGACCCATTATTACTTGCTTTGCAGCCAAAATAGTTTTTTTTAATTGACAGACTTATAACTTTGTAACTTGTTTGTCAAATATCTACATCTTTTTATCTGCTTGATTGAAATATTTTGGGTCTACTGTTAGTGGGATATAATACTGTTTTAGTTAGGATTCATGTGTTTTCAGTTTCTTGCCATAGTTCTTGTACAGTGGTAATTGACGGTTTTCCTAGAGCCCCACTTTTTAATAATTTATTAGAATCTCATTCTTTCTCTCCATCATAACCATATTCAGCACCATATTTGTGTTATAAGGTTGAAGAGGCAAAAAATTCCTACTTGAAAGAAGTTATTTACTTAGATACTTCGAGTGTATTGTTTTAGTCCTATTTGTAGTTTAAGTCTAAACTACAGTCTTGAGATCATCATCTTGAAAGTTTGGTCATATCTATGGTTCATATTTACCTTTTTATTTCTGAATTTCCGTAAAGTTTTACTTCTACTACTTTAGATTCATTCCAGTGCTGTAGAAATTGTCTTTCAAATTGAACTCTAGAAGAGCATTAATTAACTGCCTATAAAGAAACCGAGGCCTAAAAAATCATACCAAGAGTTTAATAATACATGATATGTACTACCCCAATAAAGTAGTCTTATGTGCCATCAACATGGGACTACAGTTTCTTCTGTGAAAGGACTAGTCACTGGTGAGAGAGGCAGACCTTGGAACTGTTCTGTATGTCTGCACATAGGTGTTCCAAATTAGCTAAGACTACTTTAAACTGCTCCCACTTTTCCTTTCTTTCCCTGAATTAAATTCTTGGCCACAAACTTGATTTTTGAGGTATTCTTATTTTCCAGAAACCAAGCCAAACTAAATGATGCTTTAAGTATGATTTTCTGAAATTGTGTTGGCACTTCTGCTTAATATGCTCCTCCTTTGTAATTTTTTATTGTGGTTAAAAAAAGATAACCTAAAATTTACAGCCTTATCCATTTTTAAGTATAGTTCAGTAGTAGTGTTAGCTATATGTACATTGTTGTGTGTAGCTCCTCCTTTTTTAAATATTTCTAAAACAGCATTGCTATTCTCTTCCTCCTGTTATGTTGCTCAATAATAAAGCTGAAAACATTGCTTTATCACTCTCTAATTGCTATGTCCAAGTCTCTCCAGGAGATTTTCCTACAAGTAAAAAGATTTAGAAATTATTGAATTTTGGTAATCAAGTAGGTAACATCTGAAGGGATTTGACAATTGAGTGGGGATGGGGACAAAATGCTATAGAGTTAGGACAGTTTGTAGTTATAGATTAGCTTCTTGACTACAGAAGAAACATTCTTAACCTGTTTGACTTTTTGTTATTTTAAACTTTCCCTGACATACTTGAATGATGATGGTGTTATGAAACAAAAAATGAGGATTTGGTCTACTGAGACTACCCCAGTAGCATATAGAACTCATAATTAGATAAGTTTTCATATGTGCCTGTGATGTGCAGAGCCTATGACAAAATTCTCCATTAGGCTAACCTCTTATGTTTAAACACTTTTTGGTTTTCTGGGAGGCCTTGGAATAATTGTAAGTTAATAATTTGGTATTTTCAAAAGGGATGTATCTAATGATCCTTTTTCTTCAAAATGTTATTTCTTGACTAGACATAAAATATATGTGGACACAATATGATTTCTTGTAGTTCTGTGTATGGAGAAATACTGTTTCCATTAATTGTTATATGAAGTGCCTTTTAAAATTTCACACATGTTTAAAAGTTAACATTTTGATGTCTTGCATATGTTGCTGGTGATAAGTGAATTTTGTACAGTGATTTTTAATCTTGTAGTTTATTCATTTGTATAATTAATTGCACTATCTAAATGTACTCTCCTTCTGAATGTTTTTTGGTTTTTTTATAGCACTGTTTATCCATTTCAGAAGGTTGTAGAGTATGTCCCTCCTTTATTTAAATAACTTCACAATAGTACATTTTAGTTAATAGTGATTAGCTCAGTTTTGGGGGCATTAAGGCAGCTTTGATTTCTATCTGTAGATTGTAGGCTTTCTGATTGAGTCATTTGTCTCCTATCTAGCCATGCTAACACAACTTCCATTTGACATTAGGAAAAAGTAGTAAATTTGCTGACACTTTATCTTTCTATTTTTTCTTAAGACTGTGTGACAGCTTCCTTATCATTTATAATTGCAATTTAAACTTTTTAAAATTGTGTGGCACCTTCTTTATCATTATAATTTCATTATTTACTTAGTCCTCAAAATTGCATTTAAGGGGAGCATAAACTCTTTCAGCCTACTTGGATACTATTTAGTATATCACATTAGTACTGTACTGAGTGATCTGATGAGTAATGTCTTTGAGGTCCCAATACATACAGGATAAATTCTCAATTACCAAATACAAGGAGGTTGGAATAGGCACAGTCCAGAATCCCTTCTAGTTATAAAATTGGATACAGTGTTGAATGACATGAATAGCATTAAATGCCACATTCAGTATTCTTGAGGATATAATTAATTGGGATTCTAATGAAGGGCCAAAATTATGGATTAGATCTTTGTAGAAAGAGTTTTAAAGATTGCAATAACTGAAAACTTTTTTAAAAAATGTGAGGCATATTTTGCCTGTGACTTGCACTATTTAGGTTTCCTCATATTTTGAAATTTATAATTTTTTACCTAATGCTAACCACAAGTCCAATTGTCATATCTGTATGCATCGGCCAAATCCATTCTATATAGTTTTTCATTAGTGGATACACTTAACAAAAATATACACGTGGAAGTTATCAGTAAGCTGATGATCATTGCATTGAATGAAAATATTTGTTATTTTTTTCAGATAGAACAAGTTTTATAAGCCATTAAAATGTCCTTAAAGGAGTTTCCCTTCCTGACTGAATGAGAATATTGTTTTATTAAATCTTTTTTCTCTTGATTAGTGGAATGGTATTTTTGTACTATTTTGTCTTTTCATTTGCTTGATTTTATATAATGAGAACTTTTCTATAGTAGTGTTTGATAACATTGAAGTATCTTATTACTGGAAATTATGTTTGCTTCTAGTTGGCTATCACTGGAAGCAATCACAGTCCAACCATGACCTTTTGATGGTAGCATATCAGTTCATTCTTTGTATTGCTCTTTTCTTCTTTATGTAACATCTCTTAATCTCTTTGATGGAGGTTATATTTTTCATTCTACCCATAGAACTAGCCAAGATTCTACGGCCATACCACTCTGAACGCGCCCGATCTCGTCTGATCTCGGAAGCTAAGCAGGGTTGGGCCTGGTTAGTACTTGGATGGGAGAACTAGCCAAGATTTAAGATATTTTCTAGTTTTCTCTTATATTGTCTTAAAAAAAGGTAGCGAGTCCAGTCTCTTAAACTACTCCCTCTCTATTGAACCTTCATTGGTTTTTAATGCTTTCTTGTTTAATGGTAGTATTATTTTCTCATTTTTATATATTCTTCACACAAATGTATTATTACATGTAGTTTATGGTCAATTGCATCTTTTCTCTGTATAAAGATTTTAGTCCCTTCATGAATTTATAGTATAGTTCTGAGATGTGTACTCTATCTTAAAGTTAGCCAGTTTTCTCTAGGTCTTAAGGGCTTTACTGATTTTGTTGAGGTAACTGTCCATTTCAAATGGTCTATTAGACTTTCTGATGCCTTGCTAAGAATTCAACAAGAGTTCTCAGGTTGTCTGTACTTTTAGGACTTAGGAGCTCTCTCAAGTTGTATTGAGTTTTCAAATATTCCTGAAAATATTTCTTGGTAGGGGTGAAGTAAGTGCTTTATATCTTGTAATAATTTTTAAAGTTTTTCCTCTGACCTTAAATATTTCAAGGGTTGTTTTGAGTTTTGTTAGTTGTCCCTTTATAAGACTAACTTTGAGATGCTGTTTCTCCTCCCCCCAGGAGCTATCATATGCTTTCTGTTGTTGTTTTCCCCCCTGGCCCATAAGAGTTGTTCTATCACAGCATTCAATTTTAAGGGCTACAATTAGACCTCTTGTTAACTCCCATTTTTATTTATGATGACTATGTTTCACAATACTTTCATTTATAATGTAATGTGCTAAAATATCTAGTTGGTTTGCAGTCAGCTTTATCTGTTCTTATTTTAATTAGTGGTGCAACAATGATGTAAACGTGGGGGGAAAACAATTTTTGTCACAAGTTTTAAATTTTCAGCTCTATTTTTAAACATTTATTTACATTAAGCTTCCTGCTGTTAAGTGTGCAGACCATTCTTTTCTGTATTGGGTGGAATATAGTTAATTTGTAATAGTCTCATTTAGAATCTGAGCATAGAGTTGCATGCATGTTGGTCTTTGTTTAATAGCTTGTAACAGCACCTATTTTCTTTTACTTTTGGCAAAAATATATTTTGATAGATCTTGGAAGCACCTTGATAGCCTTGAGTCTAATTGTCATCTGCCTGAGAAGGAAGTAGAGGAGAGAAACTTCACTTATAGAACTTATATTTACTAGAATGCTAGAAGGCACTTGCAGACATTCACCCTTATTTTGCAGATGAGGAAATGAAATTTACCAATAAGCCACTTGCTCAAGCAGCAGAATTGAGCTTTGAATTCTATTCCTTCATAGTCTCAAGTCAATTGTACTAGGCTGCCTCCCTGTATATTTCAAGGTCCCACTCAGATCTTACCTTTCTGATTAGCTAATTTGAGATATACTAATCTTTGTCTTCCATGATACACACTAATCTTTGATATATAGTAGTAGTGTTTGTGATTATATATATATATATATATATATATACTCTCAACCCTTAGTATTTGATGCCTTATATTAACTAATTCCTGGTTATTTGGCTTGTCAGATAAAAGACTCTAACATCTTAGTTTTCCCATTGAAGTTTTACTGTACTAGACTATGATTATTCTTGATGCATAGTCATTGGCTTCTCTTTCATATGTTGCTTATTTGCGTCATATTTATTTTCAGCACTGATTGTTTAAGTCGGGTGGGGAAAGTCTGGCCCTGGGGCCATATAAGGCTATGAAATCATTTGGTCTGGCTCTGCCAAGGCATTAGGGGTGAATTAATTAAATGTTTGGCCAAATAAAGCAGGCTAATTTTTAAGTTGGTAATTTTGTATGGCCCAAGACTGATGTTATAAATATCCAAATGGCCCGTGGCAGAAAAAGGTTCTCCACCCCTGGTTTAAGTAATGGTTCTTACTGCTTTTTTTTTCTTTGTTCTATCTTTTTTGTTTGTTACACCCATTTTGTTTGAGATATACACAAACATTTTTTTACTGGTAACTTGAGGATATTGGCTTATTGAAAGGAAGGTAGAATGATGCAAAGCACGTGGTATTTGAATTTCAAACACCTTGACCTGAGTATTAACAAGGCACTTATTTTCTGAGCCTCTGTTTTTCTACTTTCAAGTGAGGTAATGCCTAGAAGTACTTTGAAAAGTCGAAAGCCCAATATAGATTTTCTTCAGTAGTTCTGCTATTTCTGTCCATATTGGTAGTTTCTTGTTACTGTGGGATGGTATTGGATATAAATACAGATACACTTTAAGATGTATTTAATAGCATGTAATAGTTTCGTGTCATCAGATTATGTTCCTCTTGTTTTCAGTTTTTTAAGGTTGGATTCAACTATATTGCAAGCCCAATAATGTACTGTCATTGAAAAACATTTAAAGTAAAACAGTTTCTTTTTTCAAGGGCAAGCTAAGAAATGTTCATAATAAACAATAAGAAAAATTAAAGAGAATGTAGAATGAAGAGCTAGGATATGTAGGTATGTGTATACAATTTTTGATGGATGGTATTTTGTCATTTTGTGTCAGTGTTGAAAACAATAATCTTTTTATTTGTTAAACATCTCTTTCAGTAATTGCCATGTGCAGGCAGGTAGTCTGTCTGGGATGCTGGGTGTTAATACATTGTGGACCAGTAGTTTTATTGCTAGCTTTAATCAGTGGCCAGATAAGTTTCTATTGAACGAGTACAAAAAATGTTTTACATAAATTTTAAAGGCACGCTTTAAAATTAAATATCCATTGCATTTTGGAGTTATTTATTACATGTGCTTACAAGCTAATATCTTTTTAAAGTATGTTTGGCCACGAGCCTTAGAACAGGAAAACATGAGAATTCTTGTGATCTCTCTGCAATGTGTTAAGAGATGTTATATTAAGAGAAAGGAATACCAACACAGTGTAATTATCCTGTTTAGAGGAATGCCTGTGATGAAGTTGGGACAAAAGAGAGATTCATCTGGAGGGTTAAGGAAGCTTTTCTTATCAAATTCTTGAGCTGAAGTTTGGTACACAATCAGCAATGGTTGATTGGACTAGTGGAGAATAGGAGCAAGGCAATCGGGTGAAGGAATCAGTGTATGAGAGCATGGGAATGATGTGTTTCTGGTTTCAGAATTGTAAGAAATGGCCCTTAAGAGGCCAGAATTGGAGGGGATTAAGCTGAAGGAAGAGGATACATTTCATTACCCATGAAAACATTGGTTCCTATCTATTCAGAATACACTGTTTGTGTAGCCTTTACTTGTAGAAAGTAAGTCTGTCTAGACTAGAGGCTGGTTTGTATTGTAGTCCACTGTAGACATCTGGAGCAATTATTTTTCTTCCTGAGCTGAGCCAAAGGAGAGCTCTCAATCAGTGCACCCCTACCCCATAGCTCAAGCATTGAAATAGAAGTGAGATATTGGTAGAGAATAGCTTTGAAGATGAACAGGATAATGTCCCTGAAGTGGAATATGACATCCCATTATGGGTGTATAGTTGCATACTTTAGGCTTGTCTATTGGCAGTGTATCCTCGGAGTAGCTAAATGTGGGTAATTTCCCTGTATGTTGGCTTACAGATCATTTGTGGGTGGACTTGTGGAAAATGAAGAAACTTCTAAAAAAGTTGCTTCATTGTAGTTATGAGGTATTGTATTGAAGGAAGGCCCTGTGAACTTCGTGCAAGTGGTATCTCCAGCAGCACACAAAGCACATTTTGTCAACTTCCTGTTGGTTTTTCCTCTGTTTGATTTTCTTGCTGCTGTTGTCACTTTCACCTGTTCTCTCTGCATAATTCATCTTTTTTTTTTTTTTTTCCCTGTGCCAGAGGTAGAGCAGTGGCACTCAGGATTAAAATGATGTAACTCTGCTTTGTTTTGCTTTGCTTTATATTCAGATATATTTTTTAATTCCTTTAAGTTCCAAAGTTACATTTATTTATTTATTTTTGTCCTGTACTGAAGGAGAATCAAAGTCATCCTTCCTAGGAGGGATTTTTATACAAATAGATATTGTCAGTTTACCCAAAAAGACAATACAGGAAGAATCTTATTTAACAGGCTCAATGGTACTAGCCTTCTTAACTTACTAAATTACTTTACAGAATGGGGTATAGCTGTATGTATGTTTTAAAATTTGTTCGTATAAAATAGATGAAAAAAATAAAGTAGATGTTCTGTGTACTTTGTATTTGTAAACAATAACCATTTGGAGTAGGATGGAGATTGCTTTGTACAAAAGGCTTGTTTCCTGGTTCCAAAGCTTTGCTGCTGGAGATGGTAAATAAATATTGTACTACTTTGCTGTGTTTATTTCTTCTGCTTTATCTGTATTGAATATAAAATTCTTGAGGAAAATTGTTGCTTTTCAAAATGTTTTTTGGGATGTGACTTGAGTTCATGAGTTGGGCAGAAGAAACTTCTAGTAAACAGCACTTCTAGGGGTGCAGACTTCAGACTAAACTATGGACCAAAGCTTTAGGATGGGCAATTTAACTTTGTATGAAGTAATGCAATTTCAGGAATTCTGTTCAAGTGCGCTAGTTAGATGGATAATACAATTTGCAAAGTTAGTTTATGCCACTTTTGCAGTTAGTTGGTTGCTCCATTGAACTTTTTTAAAATTGGGATCCCTTACATAGAATATAAAGATGAAGGAGAGAATAGACATCCTCCAATTGGTATTCCTCTGACTAATCAGTGCCAGCTGACACTCAAGATATCCTATATAATAAAAAGCTAATATGCAAATCTATCAAACAGCGAAACGAGTGGTCACCATGATGTGCACTGACCAGCAAGGGGCAGACACTCAATGCAGGAGCTGCCCCCTGGTGGTCAGTGCATTCCCATGTGGGAGTGCTGTTCAGCCAGAAGCTGGGCTCACAGTGGGCAAGCTCAGCAGTGGTGGAGGGAGTTTCTCCCACCTCTGCAGCAGTGCTAAGGATGTCTGACTGACAGTTTAGGCCCACTTTACGGTAAGCCATCAGTCGGACATCTCCCAAGGGTTCCTGGACTGCAAGAGGGCTCAGGCTGGGCTGAGGGACTCCCCAGAGTGCACAATTTTCATGCACTGAGCCTCTAATAACAATATAAATAAACCTTTGCCTTGTGTTGTTTTATCTATATTCCCTCTCCCTTTCTTCACCACCCTCCTTCCTTCTACAAGTTTCATCTTTTTTTATTCCTGACTTTTTTAGTAGCCAAAAAGTGCCTTGGTGAGTCAGGGAACTGGGTTGTTACATCACTTTTCTGGATAATCGCTATTTTTACAAAGTGTTTTTTCGTAGAGAATATCACCTAGTATGGTACATAGAATAGAATTATTCTATTTCACAGAGTGGGCCAGTGACTGTATTTATATTTTTCATTAAAAAATACTTAATTTTTTTAATGGTTTTTGTTACTTAAGAACTAAAGTATTTTTTGAGATAAGTAATTTTAAAATATAAATCATTTGCCTATCATAAAAAAGCCACAAAATTATCTACGCGCCATAGCTGGTTTGGCTCAGTAGATAGAGCATTGGCCTGTGGACTAAAGGGTCCGTGTTCGATTCGGGTCAAGGGCACATGTCTGGGTTGTGGGCTCAATCCTCAGTAGGGGATGTGCAGAGGAAGTAAACCAATGATTCACTCTCATCATTGATGTTTCTATCTCCCTTTCCCTTCCTCTCTGAAATCAATAAAAATGTATTTTAAAAAATGATCCATTGCCACAAGCTGTTATAAAATAATAATATCTCCTGTGTAAGACCCACTTTTCTGCTGATTTTTTAGAGATTGCTTTACAAAAGCAGAATTGCTACTTTTGAATAGAAGAAAAAAATCCTCTATTTGATTTGATCTTGGGTAAATATTTCTAGAAAACCGATTTAGCTAGTTATGGCAATAACAAATGACTTAGAGACTCAACTTTGGGTGAGCTGATGAGTGGGAAGTAAAGTGAAAGATCTGCCTGTATTTAATATTTGAGAAAGTTTGGATGCAGAAATTCTTACCAAAATATTATCAAACTAAATTCTACAGTAGATTGAAAGGATCATACAACAATCAAATATAATTTATTTTGGGGATGTAAGGATAGGTCAACATTTGCAAATCAATCCACCTGAACACCACAGTGACAAAATGAAGGATAAAAATCATATACAGAAAAAAGTTTTTGACAAAATTCAACATAATTGTATTGTAAAAACCCTAAAGGAAGTGGGTATAGAGAGAATGTACCTCAGCATAGAAAGCTTTTCCTCTGAGATTAGGAACAAGACAAGGATGCCACTTTTATTCAACACTAGAGGCCTGATGCATGAGATTCATGAAAAGGGCTCAGCTCTCGCAGCCCCAGCTTCATCCGGAAGGTCGTCTGGACAATCGCTCTGCTGTTCAGTCTAATTAGCATATTAGCTCTTTATTATATTGAGGATATATGATAGTGTTGGAAGTCCTAGCCAAGGCAGTCAGACCAGCAAAGAAAAGGCACCCAACTGGAGATAGGAAAGGAAGAAGTAAAACTCACAGTTTGCAGATGATTTAGTACTATAGAGATGGTCCCTGATTTAAGATGATTTGACTTATATACCTTTAGGATGGTGTGAAAGTGATACACATTCAGTAAAAACTGGCTGGGCCAAGCTATGTTCTGTAGGTTAAGTGTAGTAAGTGCATCTTATCCACTTAAGATGAGTTGATTGGGACATAACCCCATTATAAGTCAGTGAACTTCTATATATTGAAAATGCTAGAGAGTCCAGCAAAAAAACAGGACTAATAAATGAACATTAAAGTTGCAGTATAAAAAGTTAATATGCAGAACTATCAGAAGAAGAAATTAAGAAAATTCTATTTATAATTGCATCAAAAAGAATAAAATACCGAGGTATATATTTAACCAGAGAGATGAAAGACCTCTACACTGAAAAGTATAAGACATTGGTGAAAGAGATTAAAGAAGGCACAAATAAATGAACATAAATTCGTGCACATGTATGGGAAGAATTAATATTAAAAATGTCCATAGTACTCAGTGCATACACACATTCAATGCAATTTTTATCAAAATTCAAACAGCATTTTTCACATAACTAGAACAAATCTAAAATTTGTATGGAACCACAAAATACCTCAAATAGCCAAAGCAATTTTGAAAAAGAACAATGTTAGAGATAGCACACTTTCTGATTTCAAACTGTATTACAAAGCTATAATAATAAAAAACAGTATTGTTTTGGCATAAAAACTGATACATAGATCAATGGAACCAAATAGCCCAGAAATAAATCCACACATATATGGTTAATTTATGACTAAAAACAATTTCTTCAATAAGTGGTAGTAGGAAAACTGGACAGCAACATGCAAAAGAAATGAAACTAGACCACTATCTTACACCAGGCACAAAAATTAACTCAAAAATGTTTGATTACAGACTTGAATGTAAGACCTGAAACCATAAAACTCCTATAAGGAAACAGGCCCCTTGATATCAGTCTTGGCATTTACTTTCTGATCTGACTCCAAAAGCAAAAATAAACAAGTGGGACTATATTAAACTAAATTGTTGCACAGCAAAGGAAACCATCAAAATGAAAAAGCAGTTTACTGAGTTGCAGAGGATATTTGCAAATTATATATTCAAGAAGGGGTTAATATCCAAATGTATAAATAACTAGCAAAACCACCAATTCAATTAAAAATGGACAAAGGATATGAACACTTTTCAAAGAAGGCTTACAGATGAACAACAGCCACACTAAAAAATGTTCAACATCACTAATTATCAGGGAAATGCAAATCACAACCACAATGAGCTATTGCCTCACTTCTGTTAGAATGATTATCAAAATGACAAGAAACAGTGTTAAAGAAGATGTATGTAGAGGAAGGGGAACACTCGTACACTGTGGGAATGTAAATCGATGCAACTACTATGGAAAACAATATGGAGATTTCTCAAAAAATTAAAAATAGCACTACCATATGACCTAGCTATTCTACTTAAAAAAAGGTATATGCACCCATATGTTCACTGCTGCATTGTTTATAGTAGCCAAGGTATAGAAACAACTTGAGTGTCTATTGATGGATGAGTTGATAAAGAAAATGTGATACATACAATGAAATAAAACTCAGTGAAGCAAGTTAGATAAATACTGTCTGATTTGTATGTGCAATCTTAAAAAAAAAGAAAAGAAAACTTAAAGATACGGAGAACAGGTTGGTGGTTATCAGAGGGTAATGGGTTGGGGGTTAGAGGATGGATAAAATGAGTGAAGGGGCTTCAATTGTATAGTGATATTTGGTAAGACTTATTTTGGTGATTATTTTGTAGTGTATACAGAAATCGAATTATGCCATATACTAGCTACCCTATTTCCCCGAAAATAAGACAGTGTCTTATATTAATTTTTGCTCCCAAAGATGCACTAGGTCTTATTTTCAGGGGATGTCTTATTTTTCCATGAAGAAGAATAAGGTACACATTTATTGTTAAAAGAAAATAAGGTAAATTTATTACCTGTATACGGTTCAGTAGTATGGTAGTTGTCAACACAAATCAGACAAACTGTGAATCCTATAGTATCAAGAATTTATTCATTTATTCAATGACAATCATGTCATCATCTTCTGGAACATCATCATAACAATCCAATTCCTGAATTTCCTAGTGAATTTCTTGTGACTCCATTTCTTTCAGTATCAGTGGACCAAATCTCTCATGTTTAGCCTGGGGGGGCTTTATTTTCGGGGGAATGCCTTATATTTCAGAAGGAAACCTGTAAGTAGGTCTTATTTTCGGAGGATGTCTTATTTTAGGGGAAGCACGGTAATATAGTGTTATATACCAATTTTACCTCAAAAATTAGTATAAAAATAAGAAAAATATTTGAGAAAATTATTCAAGAGACCTTCTTTGAAAAGTTTTATAAAACAGTTTATAGCCAGTTTTTTCAGCATTCAATATCAGTTTGTAATACCAAAGTGGGGGGTTAGCAAGCATGTGGTACTTAGCTTTCTATTCTATAATACATTTCAGGATTGAGAGTGAATATTTCATGAAATAGGCATTTGTAGATAAATATTAAAAGACCGCTCATAAAATCATTTCAGCATGCATTCATCAAGACTAGACAAATGGACAGAAATTCAAGTTCTAATAAAATGTCTTTGTGACGTAATTAGCTTCCTTTTGAATAAATCTATTAAACTTTGAGAAATTACATTTGTGATTTAAAAAGCTAATGATTTTGCTTTCTATATTTAAAATCCAAACCAGAAAAGCAGTAGATCGGGTCTAAGTTGAACTATATATATATATATATATATATATATATATATATATATATATATATATATAAA